GTCTTCGTGCTTGCATTCTTGTTCACACATGTTCTTGGTTAGCTTCAGGCCGGGATCTTGAGGCGTCTTCACTGGCTTGCTGTTATCCATTCCGAACTTGGTTAACACGGACTTGAGAAACTTGGTTTGTTGTACAGTCACCATTCCCGTCTTACGGTCGTTCTTGATCTCCATGCCGAGAAAGTAATCGAGCTCACCGAGATCCGTCATTTCGAAGCGTTTGCTCAGCGCCATCTTGGTTGACTTGAGGAGTTCGTTGTTGCTGCTGGCCAGGATGAGATCATCGACGTAGAGCACCACGAGAATCATGTCTTGGTCGTCTCGCTTGATGTAGATGCAGTGGTCCGATTCGCACTTCTTGAATCCCATCTTGATCATGAACCCATCGATTGTTTGGTTCCACATGCGAGGCGATTGCTTCAAGCCGTAGAGTGATCTCTTTAGCTTGCACACATAGTCCGGCTGTGTTGCATCCAGGTATCCGTCCGGCTGGTCCATGTAGATGTCTTCGTTGAGGGAGCCGTTAAGAAACGCTGTCTTGACGTCCATCTGATGTAGCATTAGGCCGTACTTAGCCGCCATACTGAGCACCACACGAATCGATGTGAACTTGGCCACCGGTGCGAAAGTTTCTTCATAGTCAACTCCGAATTTCTGTGAGAATCCTTTGGCCACAAGTCTTGCCTTGAAACGTTCAACTTCGCCATCTTGATTCTCCTTTACACGAAAAACCCATCGGCACCCGATGGCCTTGCGACCTTTCGGAAGAGGCACGATTTCCCACGTGTCGTTTCTCTGAAGCGAATCGAACTCCGAGTCACACGCTTCTTTCCACTTGCCGGAGTCGCTTGATTCCATCGCCGACTTGAATGTAGTCGGCGTTTCCCCCACTGAATCAACGATGTAGGCTGCTTCAAAATCCATTGCAGCCGCTGACACATGCTCAAGCGACGGACCTCTGTATGTTCTTCGCTTGGGACTTGGAATGACGGTAGCTTTCTCAAGTGATTGAGTGCGCGTGTGTCTCTTGATGTTGCTCTTCGAAGACCTGGTGTCTTCGTTGTCATCGTCGCTCGAGTCCATGTCGTCGTCAGTTTTACCTTCTTCTTTTTCTTCGTCCTCATCATGATCATCAAACTCAACGACACTTGACTCATCGTTGTAGTTGCGCGGACCTTCATCAAACTTGTCTTCCATGAATGTGGCATCGCGACTGATCTTGATCGCTCCTGTTGACACTTCCTCAAATCGATATGACTTCTGGTGTTCGGCGTATCCCAGGAAACGACAGAGTGATGACTTGGAGTCGAACTTCGCGCGTTTGTCTTGAGGCACTTGAACATACGCGTGGCATCCAAACACTTTAAGGTTGGCCAGAATCGGTTTCTTCATCGTCCACACTTGATATGGAGACTTGTCTTGGTGAATGGCACGTGTTGGACAGCGGTTTCGAAGAAACATCGCCGTCATCACTGCTTCACCCCAGTAGCTCTTTCCCAGTCCAGCGTGTTCCATCATGTAACGCGCACACTCGACCAGCGTGCGATTCATTCTCTCAGCTACTCCGTTTAGCTGAGGAGTATATGGGGGTGTGAACCTTTGTTGTATTCCCCGTTCCGCGCAGAATCGTGCCAGCTTGTCGGACTTGTATTCACCCCCATTGTCGCTTTGAAGGTACTTCACGCGCTTTCCGGTTTGCGTTTCGGCCATCGCAGCGTATTCCATGAACTTCGCCGCAACTTCAGATTTGCTCTTGAGCAGATAGACGACACAGTATCTTGACTTGTCATCAATGAATGTCACGAAGTACCGTTTTCCACTGAAAGTTGCCATCGACATCGGTCCGCATACGTCGCTGTGAATCACTTCGAGGAGTTTGGAGGTGCGAGCTGTAGTGTTTGATTGGAAGCGCACTCGAGTCTGTTTTCCCAGAGCACAACCTTCACACACGTCCCACTTCTTCACCGAAGATATGTCGATGCCAATTCCAATGTTCTTCGTCACGATGCAATTGAGTCCATCATGACCTATGTGGCCAAGCCGAAGGTGCCAGAGGTACGACTTGGTGCCCCCTTGACATCCCGACGACTTGGCTGCATTTGCTTGTTCCGGCGCCACTGGAGTCATTTGCAGCTTGAACAGTTCTTTACCTTCACGGGCACCAATTTTCCACTTGGTCCCTTTCGCTTCTCCATAGCACCCATCCTTCGTGAACGTCACTGGGCCGACATCCTTGGTGAAGCGGCCGACCGAGAACAGGTTTCTGGATAACTTTGGGATGTGCCACACGTTTGTGAGCACACCTTTCTTCATCCCTTGGGGTGTCTTCATCGACATGACAATGTCCCCACTGCCGATTGCTTGGACGATTCCATCATCCGCGAGATGGACATCCACAGCGTCAAACCCCTTGTAGTTCCGCATGAACTTCTTGGAGCACGTCATGTGCTGCGTCGCCCCGGAGTCGACCAGCCAGATGTCGCTCGATTTCGCAGATGTCGTTTCACCGATCGAAAAGAGGTAGTCGCCCGAGTCTTCTTCTTGAGCGACGTTTGCACGTTGTGATCGATAGCGGTCGCCGCTGTCTTGAGCACGCTGTGGCCGGTGTCTCTCCGTGTTTTCTTGGATGCGCGAGGGACACTCCGCCATCCAGTGACCAATCTTTCCGCAATTGTGGCACGGCCAGGACTTCTTCACTGGTCGCCCTTTGCGCTGATTGTCCCTTGTGATGAACGCTTGACCTTGCGAAGCTTCATCACCTTTACTTCCTTGCTCCTTCCGCTTCATTTCTTCATGAAGCAGTCGAGACGTCACGAGCTCCCAGCTAAGAGTGTCTGAGCGCGACTCCAAAGCTGTGATCAAGAATTGATACGAGTCACTCAGGCTGCCGAGGAGTGTGATCACCAGATCGTCCTCGCAGACTGGAGCCCCCACCGCTTCTAGCTGTTCCGCCAGCGTCTTGAGCTTGTTGATGTGTTCGAGCACATCGTCGCCTTCTTCCATCATTGTCGTGAAGAAGCGACGGCGCAAGAACAGCTTGTTGGCAAGACTCTTCTTCTCGAAGTGGTCTTCCAACCTTGACCATGCGTCGCATGCACCACTTGCCGACCGGACCAACGGTAGCTGGGAATCTTCCATGGCTAGACAGATCACTGCCATCGCCTTTCTTGACTTCCTCTTGTACGTCGCTTGGTCCAACTGAGTCTCGCACTGTTCCGCCTTGATCTCACCGCTGACGACCTCCCATAGGTCCCGTTCCTCCAGCACCATCTGCATCTTGAACTTCCAGGCGTGGAAGTTAGTTCCATCGAACTTGGAGATGCGGAGGGAGGAGGCGTCCATGGCAGCTAAGCTTGAATTGTTGGCGGTTTCAGAGTCTGACGAACTTGGGCTCATAACCTGATGAACTTTAGACTTCTTGGTCCGAGTGCAAAACGCAAAGTGAATATATATTTATAATAGGTACTTAGTTCGCAACTTTGAATACTACCTCTAAGCCTATTATTCGCAGTGACGTCATCCAGTGACGTCACCCACTGACGTCACCCACTGACGTCATGCAATGACGTCATCCAGTGACGTCATTTCCTGACTTCGCCCTTACTGGTACATACCGGTACCCACCGGTATAGCGAAGCTTGGTCTTCCACTTGCTTCAACACTTGACGCAGCTTGACGAGGTGTCTTCTTCACAGCCGCTGTCTTTTCAACACGACGAGTATGTGTGCTCCATCGGATTTCAAGTATCGGACTTCGACCCATGTCTCTGCATCAAGACTTCGGACGGCCATTGCGTGTTTATACTGGTCTACGTGGACGACGTCTTGGTGACTGGAAGCTCGCTCGAGCTGATTGCACAAACCAAGAACGACCTGAAGACGCGGTTCGAAATGACGGACAGCGGCAAGTGTGCGTTTGTTCTTGGGATCGAGCTTTTGGACGGTGAAGATGGCAGTGTGACACTATGTCAGCGTCGGTATGTCGATGATATCCTCAAGCGCTTTGGCATGGATGATTGCAAGGCAGTCGCAAGTCCAGTCGACATGAGCTCTCGACTTGTTTCAAGTGATGCAACTACCAAGGTCGATGCTCCTTTTCGCGAAGCTGTTGGTGCGTTGATGCACCTGACCACTGCAACGCGTCCGGACATTGCGTTTGCTGTGGGCTATGTGTCGCGGTTCATGGAAAATCCCCAAGAAGAACACTGGGTTGCAGTTAAGCGTATCTTTCGCTACCTACAAGGCACCAAGACGCATGGAATTTGCTACAAGCCAAGTGCAAGGATCGACTTCCGTGGATATTCGGATGCGGATTGGGCTGGTGATCTTACCGACCGCAAGTCAACATCGGGGTACACGTTCATGCTACTCGGTGCGCCAGTCAGTTGGGGCAGCAAGAAGCAGCCAAGTGTTTCGTTGTCCACGAGTGAAGCCGAATACATCGCACTCAGCTTGGCGATTCAAGAGGGCAAGTGGATTCATCGTCTGCTTTGTGAGATCGTGATGGCTGCCAATGAAGAAGGACCGGAACTCATGATCCATGAAGACAATCAGTCGTGTATCAAGATGACGAAGAACCCAGTCAACCACGGCCGTGCCAAGCACATTGATATCAAGTACCATCACATCCGTGATGAGGTCAAGCGCGGTGAAGTGAAGCTCAAGTACTGTGAAACTGCGGTGATGTTAGCGGACATCATGACGAAGGGACTTCACGGGCCACGCCACAAGGAGATGACGGCGACTCTCGGGATTCGTGAGCATTCGGATTGAGGGGGCGTGTTGACGGTCATCGGTTTTCTACCAGTATTGGTAACCGTGACCGATCCAATCCGAACCGCCTGTTCAGCTTAGTATTTACGACGTAGTTCTTACGGTAATTACCATAGTTGATTAGACGCGTAGGATGATGAGACGCTTCACATGATTTATATGTACACCACATATAAATCATGTAGTAAGTAGTAAGCCCCGATAATCAATCACTTTCGAATCTTCCAACTATTGGGCAAGTGTTTTCTGCTCTACTCTCTTCGGTCTCTCCGCTCCGTTTGCTCCGCTTTCCTCGCTCCGATCTACAATGCAACAGATCGCGCCTTGGCCTCTTGGCAGTTTTGTCGCACGGAAAACTCCACGAAGATGCATCGACTTGAGTTCCGCCTTCACAGCATTTCGCCATTGAGCTTGATCAGGACCATTGATCGCGTCTTGAAAAGTCACAGGTTCTGCTAGGCCCGTTGCTTCCACTGCGTTTGCACTTGCAAGCCAAAATGTTGGAGGCGTCGAGTCGTCATCTCGATCGTAGACGCTCGCATCTTCTTCGTCATCAGACATCGTTTCTGGAGCACTTGATCGTCGTTTCTGGTGACGGTTGGAGACGTGTTCCGGCGCACTTGCTTGTTCCAACCCAGTTCGAGGGCGAGCTGAACGTGACATGCCGGGTCTTGCTTCACTCTTGCGCTTGCCAGTCTGCTTGTAGACGGTTTGACGCACGTTGTCCTCGTTGATCGCTAGGAGGTCGAGGTCCAACTCCGCATCTTCATCATCGTCACTTGGTCGGTCCATCGAAAAGTCAAAAGTCGATTCGTCGAAGGTGATGTCACGACTGATCACCACTTGGCCCGCCTCAATGTCGTACACTCGATAAGCTTTTGACGCTTCTTCGTAGCCCATGAACATCCCTTCACGAGCCTTCGGGTCCCACTTCAATCGCTTCTCCCTTGGTGTCAGGATAAACGCCCGACATCCAAACACGCGCATGTGCTTGACACTTGGTTTCGACTTGTACACGATCTCGACCGGAGTCTTGTGGTCGATCTTGGGTGAAGGCAGGCGGTTCTTGATGTAGATCGCCGTCATTGCCGCTTCAGCCCAGAAACACTTCTCCAGCTTTGCATGATGCAACAAGCTGCGTCCGATCGTGACGATGGTCCTTATCGCGCGTTCTGCGGTGCCGTTGGTCTGGTGTGCATACGGCACCGTGATCTGTTGTTGCTCGATACCATGATCTTCGTAGAAGGTCTTGATGGAGTTGGTCGCAAACTCATGCGCTCCATCGTGCCGAACAAACTTGATCTTCGTGCCGAACTGAGTTTGAATCTTGATAATGTGGTTCTTGATACAGTCTTCACTCTCAGACTTGGACCGCAGACAGAAGCCTTTCATGCAACCGCTGGCTTCGTCAACCACAAACAGTAAGTATCTGCTGCCGCCGATCGAGACTTGTTCCATTGGCCCGCAGATGTCGACGTGCAGCAACTCGAACACACCATATTGGTGTTTGTCACGGTTGGTTGGGAATGGTTTTTGGACCATCTTTCCTTGCTGGCAACCGCGACACACACTTGGACCAGTCGAGTCGAGAGGTGCCTTGGCGTCCTTGATCATGCCAGTGGCCACCATCTTGCGCAGAACTTCGAGGGGTGCATGATCCATGCGCGCATGCAAGTCGATAGTCCCATTGCGTGTTGCTGCATTTGCCGATCGTTGAGGAGTCCACAGCCAGTAAAGTCCATCGACGAGATCCGCTGTTGCCACGACTTGTGTGGAATTCTTGCGCTTCGCTTGCATCTTGGACCCATCGAACACGACTTGGAACCTGCCACCCTTGTTGATCTGTGGCACCGAAAGCAGATTCTTGCTCATACTTGGTACGAACAGTGCGTCCTTGATCTCGATGTCGCGTTCGTCACCATTGGGCAGAACCACCCGTTCCATGATGGTTCCCACACCCTTGATCGCAGCCTTGCTGCCATCAGCCACTGATAGTTCGCCTTCCTCTCGCTCATTCAGGCTTGCAAACTTGGCCTTGTCGTTGCAGATGTGATGCGTCGCACCGCTGTCGACTGCCCACATCCCTGGCATATTCTTGCCCGTCGAAAGTCCAGCCTCCAGCGAAACCGCGAACGCAACTCGATCGTAGTTGTCATCGTAGTTGCTGTTGGTTCGCCACTGAACGTTGTTGGCTCCGCGTCCACGAGCATTGTTGCCGCCGCGTCGAGCTCCACCTTGATTTTCGTCCTTCTGCTTGGTCCAGCACCGCTCCGCCGTGTGCCCCAATTTTCCGCAGTATGTACACTGGCGAGGTTCACGCTCGGCACTGAACGCCTTCGCCGCGTCTTCAGTCTTCACCGATGTCGTCTTGTCACCTTGCCTCTTGATGTGCTCATTCGTGAGCACTCTCACGACGTCTCGCGATCGCAGTTCCGCGCTGCTCATCTCCAAGTTGAGAACGACGTTCTCGTAGCTCTTGGGGAGGCTGCGCAACAAGCAGATCGCCACGTCCTCGTCCTCCATCTTGGCGCCGATGCTGCTGAGCTTCGCGCTGATGTTGAGGACTTCGTTGCAATGATGCATCACATTGCCGCCTTCCTCCATCTCCATGCTGAACAGCTGGCGCTTCAAGTAGATGCGTCCAGCCTTCTGCGATCCGCCGTACAGCATCTTTAAAAGCGCCCACGCGACCCACGCCTCTTCACAGTCATCGACGATGTGATGGTAGTCTGCGTCCATGTGCAGCAACGTCAGTCCGAAAGCGATGTTGTTGGCCTTGACGTAGTCGTCCATGGCGCGATCGTCCGCGTAGGTCGGCGAGGTCTCCCGGTTCACAGCGTGCCACGCCGACTTAGTCAGGAACACGCCACGCATGTAGCGGCTCCATGTCGCGTAGTTGTCGCCGTCGAACTTGTCAATGGAGATCTTGGTGGTGGCATCATGAGCAGAGGACATCGTGCTTGGGCTCATAACCTGTTAATAGGTGTAAAGCTTGACGACCGAAACTGGGAGTGATGCTGGGAGTCCACTCGGAAGACCGGAGAAGACACTTGGGGGTAGATGGAAGATTGGAAAGTGATTGATTATCGGGGCTTACTACTTACTACATGATTTATATGTGGTGCACATATAAATCATGTGAAGCGTCTCATCATCCTACGCGTCTAATCAACTATGGTAATTACCGTAAGAACTACGTCGTAAAGACTAAGCTGAACCGGCGGTTCGGATTGGACCGGTCACGGTTACCAATACTGGTAGAAACCGATGACCGTCAATAGACAACAAGTGTCGATGCGCTTGGCCCGACCATGGTTCACAGGATTCTTCGTCATCTTGACGCACGATTGGTTGTCTAACATGATCTTGAGCTCGGGTCACAGACTTGTCCTCTGCGGCATCCAGAATCTCGCATAGCAATCGATGCACCACTTGCCTTCTTGAATAGCCAGACTTAAGGCAATGTACTCAGCTTCACTTGTTGACAGCGACACACTTAACTGCTTTTTGATTCCCCAGCTCACCGGAGCACCCATCAGGATGAACGCATATCCCGAAGTCGACTTGCGGTCTGCATTGATGAACTTTAGACTTCTTGGTCCGAGTGCAAAACGCAAAGTGAATATATATTTATAATAGGTACTTAGTTCGCAACTTTGAATACTACCTCTAAGCCTATTATTCGCAGTGACGTCATCCAGTGACGTCACCCACTGACGTCACCCACTGACGTCATGCAATGACGTCATCCAGTGACGTCATTTCCTGACTTCGCCCTTACTGGTACATACCGGTACCCACCGGTATAGCGAAGCTTGGTCTTCCACTTGCTTCAACACTTGACGCAGCTTGACGAGGTGTCTTCTTCACAGCCGCTGTCTTTTCAACACTCCCTCTCGACTCGTTAGCTGCGGCACCTTGGATCCCAAGTCGATCGCGAATGTTTTCAAATTGTACAGCGGCGATCGGCTTGGTCATCATGTCTGCCAGCATATCTTGAGTCGGGCAATACTCCAAAACGACTTCACCTGATTCCACCTTCTCACGCACAAAATGGTAGCGTATGTCGATGTGTTTTGTTCTCTTATGGAACTCCGGGTTCTTGGCGAGAGCGATTGATCCTTGGTTGTCTTCATACATCTTGATCGCTTCGTCGCTTGTCATCTCACCAAGTTCCCCCAAAAGCACTTTGAGCCATACTGCTTCTTTGGTTGCTTCGGAAAGCGCCATGTATTCTGCTTCTGTTGAAGATAGCGCGACCGTCCGTTGTTTCTGGCTTTTCCAGCTGATGCATCCTCCGCTCATCATGAACACATAGCCGCTTGTACTTCGTCTTGACTCAATGTCGCCGGCCCAGTCTGCGTCGGTGTACCCGCAGATACGGCTTCCTTCTTCACGTGTAAACTCAAGACCATGATTGGGCGTTGCTTGCAGGTATCTCAGCACACGCTTCAAAGCTTGCCAGTGAGTCGGGCATGGGTCGGACGAGAACTGGGATAATGATCCCACTGCAGCAGCTAGATCCGGACGTGTGGCGACCATGAGATACATGATGCCTCCGACAGCACTTCGATATGGCACGTTGCACATGGTGTCTTCGTGCTTGCATTCTTGTTCACACATGTTCTTGGTTAGCTTCAGGCCGGGATCTTGAGGCGTCTTCACTGGCTTGCTGTTATCCATTCCGAACTTGGTTAACACGGACTTGAGAAACTTGGTTTGTTGTACAGTCACCATTCCCGTCTTACGGTCGTTCTTGATCTCCATGCCGAGAAAGTAATCGAGCTCACCGAGATCCGTCATTTCGAAGCGTTTGCTCAGCGCCATCTTGGTTGACTTGAGGAGTTCGTTGTTGCTGCTGGCCAGGATGAGATCATCGACGTAGAGCACCACGAGAATCATGTCTTGGTCGTCTCGCTTGATGTAGATGCAGTGGTCCGATTCGCACTTCTTGAATCCCATCTTGATCATGAACCCATCGATTGTTTGGTTCCACATGCGAGGCGATTGCTTCAAGCCGTAGAGTGATCTCTTTAGCTTGCACACATAGTCCGGCTGTGTTGCATCCAGGTATCCGTCCGGCTGGTCCATGTAGATGTCTTCGTTGAGGGAGCCGTTAAGAAACGCTGTCTTGACGTCCATCTGATGTAGCATTAGGCCGTACTTAGCCGCCATACTGAGCACCACACGAATCGATGTGAACTTGGCCACCGGTGCGAAAGTTTCTTCATAGTCAACTCCGAATTTCTGTGAGAATCCTTTGGCCACAAGTCTTGCCTTGAAACGTTCAACTTCGCCATCTTGATTCTCCTTTACACGAAAAACCCATCGGCACCCGATGGCCTTGCGACCTTTCGGAAGAGGCACGATTTCCCACGTGTCGTTTCTCTGAAGCGAATCGAACTCCGAGTCACACGCTTCTTTCCACTTGCCGGAGTCGCTTGATTCCATCGCCGACTTGAATGTAGTCGGCGTTTCCCCCACTGAATCAACGATGTAGGCTGCTTCAAAATCCATTGCAGCCGCTGACACATGCTCAAGCGACGGACCTCTGTATGTTCTTCGCTTGGGACTTGGAATGACGGTAGCTTTCTCAAGTGATTGAGTGCGCGTGTGTCTCTTGATGTTGCTCTTCGAAGACCTGGTGTCTTCGTTGTCATCGTCGCTCGAGTCCATTTCGTCGTCAGTTTTACCTTCTTCTTTTTCTTCGTCCTCATCATGATCACAAAACTCAACGACACTTGACTCATCGTTGTAGTTGCGCGGACCTTCATCAAACTTGTCTTCCATGAATGTGGCATCGCGACTGATCTTGATCGCTCCTGTTGACACTTCCTCAAATCGATATGACTTCTGGTGTTCGGCGTATCCCAGGAAACGACAGAGTGATGACTTGGAGTCGAACTTCGCGCGTTTGTCTTGAGGCACTTGAACATACGCGTGGCATCCAAACACTTTAAGGTTGGCCAGAATCGGTTTCTTCATCGTCCACACTTGATATGGAGACTTGTCTTGGTGAATGGCACGTGTTGGACAGCGGTTTCGAAGAAACATCGCCGTCATCACTGCTTCACCCCAGTAGCTCTTTCCCAGTCCAGCGTGTTCCATCATGCAACGCGCACACTCGACCAGCGTGCGATTCATTCTCTCAGCTACTCCGTTGAGCTGAGGAGTATATGGGGGTGTGAACCTTTGTTGTATTCCCCGTTCCGCGCAGAATCGTGCCAGCTTGTCGGACTTGTATTCACCCCCATTGTCGCTTTGAAGGTACTTCACGCGCTTTCCGGTTTGCGTTTCGGCCATCGCAGCGTATTCCATGAACTTCGCCGCAACTTCAGATTTGCTCTTGAGCAGATAGACGACACAGTATCTTGACTTGTCATCAATGAATGTCACGAAGTACCGTTTTCCACTGAAAGTTGCCATCGACATCGGTCCGCATACGTCGCTGTGAATCACTTCGAGGAGTTTGGAGGTGCGAGCTGTAGTGTTTGATTGGAAGCGCACTCGAGTCTGTTTTCCCAGAGCACAACCTTCACACACGTCCCACTTCTTCACCGAAGATATGTCGATGCCAATTCCAATGTTCTTCGTCACGATGCAATTGAGTCCATCGTGACCTATGTGGCCAAGCCGAAGGTGCCAGAGGTACGACTTGGTGCCCCCTTGACATCCCGACGACTTGGCTGCATTTGCTTGTTCCGGCGCCACTGGAGTCATTTGCAGCTTGAACAGTCCTTTACCTTCACGGGCACCAATTTTCCACTTGGTCCCTTTCGCTTCTCCATAGCACCCATCCTTCGTGAACGTCACTGGGCCGACATCCTTGGTGAAGCGGCCGACCGAGAACAGGTTTCTGGATAACTTTGGGATGTGCCACACGTTTGTGAGCACACCTTTCTTCATCCCTTGGGGTGTCTTCATTGACATGACAATGTCCCCACTGCCGATTGCTTGGACGATTCCATCATCCGCGAGATGGACATCCACAGCGTCAAACCCCTTGTAGTTCCGCATGAACTTCTTGGAGCACGTCATGTGCTGCGTCGCCCCGGAGTCGACCAGCCAGATGTCGCTCGATTTCGCAGATGTCGTTTCACCGATCGAAAAGAGGTAGTCGCCCGAGTCTTCTTCTTGAGCGACGTTTGCACGTTGTGATCGATAGCGGTCGCCGCTGTCTTGAGCACGCTGTGGCCGGTGTCTCTCCGTGTTTTCTTGGATGCGCGAGGGGCACTCCGCCATCCAGTGACCAATCTTTCCGCAATTGTGGCACGGCCAGGACTTCTTCACTGGTCGCCCTTTGCGCTGATTGTCCCTTGTGATGAACGCTTGACCTTGCGAAGCTTCATCACCTTTACTTCCTTGCTCCTTCCGCTTCATTTCTTCATGAAGCAGTCGAGACGTCACGAGCTCCCAGCTAAGAGTGTCTGAGCGCGACTCCAAAGCTGTGATCAAGAATTGATACGAGTCACTCAGGCTGCCGAGGAGTGTGATCACCAGATCGTCCTCGCAGACTGGAGCCCCCACCGCTTCTAGCTGTTCCGCCAGCGTCTTGAGCTTGTTGATGTGTTCGAGCACATCGTCGCCTTCTTCCATCATTGTCGTGAAGAAGCGACGGCGCAAGAACAGCTTGTTGGCAAGACTCTTCTTCTCGAAGTGGTCTTCCAACCTTGACCATGCGTCGCATGCACCACTTGCCGACCGGACCAACGGTAGCTGGGAATCTTCCATGGCTAGACAGATCACTGCCATCGCCTTTCTTGACTTCCTCTTGTACGTCGCTTGGTCCAACTGAGTCTCGCACTGTTCCGCCTTGATCTCACCGCTGACGACCTCCCATAGGTCCCGTTCCTCCAGCACCATCTGCATCTTGAACTTCCAGGCGTGGAAGTTAGTTCCATCGAACTTGGAGATGCGGAGGGAGGAGGCGTCCATGGCAGCTAAGCTTGAATTGTTGGCGGTTTCAGAGTCTGACGAACTTGGGCTCATAACCTGATGAACTTTAGACTTCTTGGTCCGAGTGCAAAACGCAAAGTGAATATATATTTATAATAGGTACTTAGTTCGCAACTTTGAATACTACCTCTAAGCCTATTATTCGCAGTGACGTCACCCACTGACGTCACCCACTGACGTCATGCAATGACGTCATCCAGTGACGTCATTTCCTGACTTCGCCCTTACTGGTACATACCGGTACCCACCGGTATAGCGAAGCTTGGTCTTCCACTTGCTTCAACACTTGACGCAGCTTGACGAGGTGTCTTCTTCACAGCCGCTGTCTTTTCAACATGCATGGTCGCCGGCCCAGTCTACATCCAAGTAGCCGCAGAAGTCTACCTTGTCATCAGACTTGAAACCGATGCCGTGCGACTTAGTCCCTTGTAAGTATCGCAAAATGCGCTCGACCGCCATCCAGTGCTCGACTTGGAGGTTTTCCATGAAGCGCGAAATTTAACTCACAGCAAAGGCAATGTCCGGTCGTGTCGCGGTCATCAAGTGCATTAAAGCGCCTACTGCTTCACAAAACGGGGCGTCCATTTTGGTTACTGCACTGTTTGTTATGAGTCAAGAACTGATGTCTGTTGGGCTGGTGACGGCTTTGCAGTCGCTCATGCCAAAACGCTTGAGAACATCTTCCACGTAGCGTCGCTGGCACATCGTCAGGCTACCGTTGTCGTTGTCCACCATCTCGATGCCCAACACGAATGCGCACTTGCCGCTGTCAGTCATTTCGAAACGCGCCTTCAAGTCACTCTTGGTACGCATAATCAGTTCGGTCGAGCTGCCAGTCACCAACACATCATCGACGTATACCAGCAAAAGCACGCACTCGCCACTTGTAATTTTGAGATAAAGACACGGGTCAAAATCGGATACTTGAAATCCAATGGAGCAGACGAACTCATAGAAAGTCTCGTTCCATACGCGCGATGCTTGTTTTAGTCCGTAGATCGCCTTCACCAATTCGAAGCAGTCAAAGTCTTCATCAACTTCGACCCCTTCTGGGATCGCGCAGAATACCTTTTCCTTCATCTCTCCGCATAGCAAAGCTGTCACCACGTCCAGTAGGTCCAGTTTCCAGTCAAAGTACTTCGTGATTGCAACTACCATGCGCAGCGTCACGTACTTGACTACCGGCAAAAACGTCTCCGTGTAGTCGATGCCATATTTCTGCTTGAACCCTTTTGCCACGAGACGCGCCTTGTATTTCTCGATGGATCCATCAGCTTTCCGCTTGATATTGAATACCCACTTGGTGCCAATGGTATACTGTCCAGCTGGCAGTTTGGTCGCTCGAAGCACGCCACGAAGTTTCATCGAGTCCAACTCAGCACAGATAGCTTTACACCAATGCACTTGATCCGGTCCATCAACAGCATCTTTAAACGTTGTCAGCTCAGACAAGTCAGTACCTTCGACTGCGTTGGCACTCGCTCGCCAAAAGACTTGAGGTGTAGCATCCTCGTTATCTTCGTCACTGCCCTTTCGCTCTTCGTCCAGATTGGCTCGAGCGCTTGACCGTCGCTTCGCTTGGTGCGATTCAAAGTTATCCGGGGCACTTGCTTCTTCTAACCCGGTTCCACGACGCTCAGGAAGTGTCCGTTGTAGAACTTGTTCTTGGCTGTTTGGACGGCTTCTGCGTTTTCCAGTTTGCTTGAACTGCATGGGGTGAGGCTCATCGCTGATGTTCATCGATTCGATATCCAGCGCAGTGTCATCAGCAATTTCGTGTGGTAGAGTCGGCGAGAAACCAAGCGTTGATCCGTCGAATGTGACATCGCGAGATATCACCACTTGATCCGCTTCAATGTCGTAAACGCGATATGCCTTCGACACTTCTTCGTACCCCATGAATAGTCCTTCACGAGCCTTCGGATCCCGTTTCGATCTCTTTTCCTTAGGGGTCAGCACAAACGTTCGGCAGCCGAAAACCCGCACGTGCTTCACACTTGGTCGAAATCCGTTGACAATCTCGAACGGGGTTTGATCTTGGCACTTGGGCGATGGTAGGCGATTCTTGATGTAGACCGCCGTCATTGCTGCTTCAACTCAAAAGCACTTGTCCAGCTTGGCGTAGTGAAGCATGCTGCGCCCGATCGTCACAATGGTCCGAATTGCCCGTTCCGCCGTGCCGTTGGTCTGATGTGTTAGCGAGTGATGATGCGGCGACTTGTGCAGGGTGTATATTGCATATTTGCATTAGTTGTATTGTTCTTTGGCAGGTTTATATTGTGGGATGTTAGCGAAACGACAAGTCATCGGATTGGCTCAGTCGTTTGGGAAGGGGGATTCCACGCGGGTGAGTGCGGGTTCGATCCCCGCCGTGTACAAGTTAATTGTGACTGACACTCACGACCTGGTGTTTGGGGTTCACCAGAACTGTGACCCGCCCGCAGTTACGTCCCCCACCCACGCAATCGTTTTCATTCAGCATATGACACAGCAGAGTTTTTACGAAAGGTATTTACGAGACGTAATTACCCAGTGATAGGTAAAACAGAAAGCGGTGGAGACAGGGCACGAAATAGATGGCTGAGAGTCACCGGCTACTACTAGCCATTCGTTTTCGAAGCTAGGAACAATTTGAATACAACTCACTTTTCGGTTTTCATCCCCGGCCGTAAGCCATCTTCTTCTCAGCATCAGCTCCACAACCTAGTTAATTCTAACAGGTTATGAGCCCAAAGAACGACTCCGGTTTCAAGGTCGAGCCTTTCGACGGCTCGAACTATGGGTTGTGGAGTTACAAGATGAAGATGTACCTGATGTCGAAGGGGCTGTGGGGCGCGATCGCGGGCGATGAGACAACAAGTGAGGCCAAGGAACAGCAAGCCCACGCCGCGATCGTGCTGAATCTGAGCGATTCACAGTTGATGCATGTCATCGACTCGGCCACCGCAAGAGAAGCGTGGGGACGTCTGGCGCGATTTCATCACAGTCATGACATGGCGAATCGACTTTGGCTGAAGGAAAAGTTCGCGTCGTTCAAGTATGCAGCATCAAGCATGAGCGGTCATGTGATGGAGCTGGAGGACCTCGTGATGAAGATGAAGCGCGCGAACTGCGGTCCAAGTGAAGAGGACGTGTGCGCAGTACTGTTGCGGAGTCTACCTTCAAGCTTCGAGAGCTTGGTACAGGCATTCCGCATGTCCGTCGCAAGCTTCAGTTTCAGTGACCTCGTGAGCAAGTTGATCGCCGAAGAAGTGCGCCAGAATGAGGGAGCACGAGTAGAAGATGCAACGGCGCTCTACGCAGGCAAGAGGAAGGGTAAGCAGTACCCGAAGAAGCAACAAGGACGGCGCGCGAAAGGACCATCAGGGACCTGCTACAACTGTGGCAAGGTCGGACACTACGCCAGAGATTGTCGCTCCGGTCGAGGGCCAAGGGAGCAACAGCATGACCAGTCGAATGTCGCGTTTCATGCCAGCGAAGGTTTCGCGAGCAACAGCTGGGTCATGGACAGTGGCGCGTCAGCACACATGTGCAAGGATCGAGATGCGTTCGAAGAGTACGAAGAAGTGCATCATGCGCGAAGCATTTCAAGCGCAAAGAGCGACGTGAAGCTGAATGTCATTGGACATGGGACAGTGAAGCTGCGCGTCTGGACAGGACATGCGTGGATCGACGCTCGCCTTGAGAACACACTTCACGTTCAAGATTTGTCCAAGAACCTGTTTTCGCTCACGGCTGCGGCAGCGCGCGGCATGACAGTGGAGATAACGCGCAACGAGTGCGTGGTCAAGCGTGGCGGCACACCCGTCGCAACAGGAAGGAAGCAGGGGTTCCTCCTGTATCTCAATGCTGACTGTGGTACGGAGTGCCACATGGCCGAAGACGATACAGAGCTATGGCATAGAAGATTGGGTCACGTGTCGTATGGTACGCTGAATGCCATGGTCAAGGACGGAAGGATAAAGGGCGCAACGATGAAGACGAACGTTGCGTGTGACGTATGCGCAACGTCAAATCAAGTGCGCAAGTCATTCAAGACAAGTGAAGAAGACGCTGAAACCAGGTAGAGTTCGCGTTCCGACGTGGTGGTGTGCTCCGACGTTCTCGGACCTATCACGCCAGCGTCCAAGTCTGGTTTCAGTTACGCCGTAACCTTCATCATGATGAAGAGCAGGTATGTAACGGTCTATCCGTTGCGAAAGAAGAGCGACGTTGCGAGTGCGTTCAAGCGGTTTTACCAAGATGTCAAGACAGCATCTGGAACGAAGATAAAGGTGTTGCGAAGTGACAACGGCGGCGAATACCGGAACGAAACGATGAACAGCTTTTGCAAGGCAAAGTTCATTAAGCAAGAGTTCACGGTTCCGTACAATCCAGAGCAGAACGGGATGGCGGAGCGGATGAACCGCACGCTGGTGGAGATGACGCGCTGTATGCTCAAGGAAAGCGGCCTCGACAAGTCCTATTGGTGCGAGGCACTAATGACAGCGGCAGACATCAGAAACATTCTGCCGAATGCGTCGAACAAGAACTCAAGCCCACACGAAATGGTGTTCAAGAAGGTTCCGCGCATCGATCACATGCGCGTGTTTGGTGCGCAATGCTATGCGCATGTGGCGAAGGAGAAGAGAAAGAAGCTGGACGACCCAGGCGTGCGATGTTTCTTTCTCGGCTATGCGAAGGACCAAAAGGCGTATCGGCTTCTCAACGCGGACGATGGCTCAATCGTGATTTCAAGAAGCGTCACGTTCGCTGAGCATTCTGTCTCGAAAGCATCAAAAAGCAGAGACACGCGGGTGTTCGATGTCATTGAAGAAGAGGAAAGTGTGGAGGCGTCGTTACCCGATGATGAAGACATACCAGCGCCGGTGACCGAAGAAGAGCTGCGCACCCCACCACTTCGAGCGCAGAACAGCTCTCATCACGGACCAAGTGTTCGACCAAGCGACACCATTCCTACGCGCGCATCCAGCACACCCGGAAGAAATGGAGAAGAAGAGTGGATGGTGCGACCGGTTCGAAAGAAGCGCGGCGTGGTTCGCTACGATCAAGAATTTCCAAGCCATCGTCGCGGTCACTTCAATTTGGACGACTACGAAGGTGACTTCGACTCTTTCTACTGTTTCTCGGCTGAAGAAGATGGGGAACAAGCGTCCAGCTATCAAGAAGTGATGAAGAGCGGCTACAAGGAGCAGTGGCTCCAGGCAATGAAGAGCGAGATGAAGTCGCTTGAAGAACACAGCACATGGAAGCTAGTAAAAATGCCACCGGGCAAGAAGGCCGTAGGCTGCAAGTGGGTCTTCAAGATTAAACGCGATCCAAGTGGCGAGATAATCAAGTTCAAGGCACGCTTGGTTGCGAAAGGGTTCACGCAGCGTCCTGGCATCGACTACAACGAGACCTTTGCACCAGTGGCGCGCAAGGAATCTATCAACACAGTGTTGGCGATCGCTGCAGCTGAAGACCTGGAAGCAGAGAACGTTGATGTCGACACAGCGTTTCTCAACGGCGAAGTGGAAGAGGAGATCTACATGGACCAACCTGACGGTTTTGAAGATGAAGGAAGCCCGAATAAGAAGTGTTTGCTGCAGAAGGCGCTATACGGGACGAAGCAAGCGGCGCGGCAGTGGAACAACAAGTTGAGTCAGCACTTGGTTGATCAAGGATTCAAGAGCAGTACAGCGGACCCGTGTGTGTTCGTTCGAGTGAAAAGAGAGGAGTACAGCATCATCGTGATCTACGTGGACGACTTGATGATTTTCTGCAAGACGAAGGAGCACATCGCAAGTATCAAGAACTCATTGATGGAAGATTTCAGCATTAAAGATCTTGGAGATCTCAAGTACTGCCTCGGGATCGAGATTCATCGCAAGCGCGAAGATGGAACGATCAAGATGAACCAGAAGGCGTACATCAAGCGACTTTCGGAGAAGTTCGGCGTTGAGAACTGCAAGGACATGCACACGCCGGCGGACAGTAATTCGAAGCTGATCAAGATGGGTCAAGAGGAAGCGTTTGTACCAAAGTACCCATACCGTGAGCTGGTGGGCGCTTTAATGTACATCGCCACATGTACACGACCGGACATTGCGCATGCGGTTGGCGAAGTTGCGAAGTTTTGCGAGCGCTACGACAAGTCGCATTGGACAGCAGCAAAGCGGATTCTCAAGCATCTCAAGACGACTCAAGACTTAAGCATCGTGTTCAGCGGCATCAACAAGGGAGAGCTTATTGGATTTGCAGATGCAAACTGGGCTGGCGACCTCGACACGCGGCGTTCGACAACAGGATACGTTTTCTTCCTGAACGGAAGCGTGATATCGTGGAATTCGAAGCGTCAACCAACGGTCGCGACCTCAAGTACGGAAGCAGAGTACATGAGTCTGTACAGCGCGACGCAGGAAGCAATTTGGCTTCGAGGTCTGCTCAAGGACCTGAACTACTGTGCCAAGAACGCGACGACGATTTTTCAAGACAATCAAGGATGCATCGCGCTGGCCAAGAATCCTGTGTACCACCTCGCGCACGAAGCACATCGACATCAAGTTTCACTTTTTGCGTGAAAAGGTTGCAAGTGCAGTGATCGCGCTAGAGTTCAAGCCGACAGAAGAAATGGTCGCGGATGGATTCACCAAAGCACTTCCAAGAGACAAGCACAGCAAGTTCATCACGGGTTTGTGCATGGCGGTGTAGGGGTCACACGTCGCACGCACATCAAGGGAGAGTGTTAGCGAGTGATGATGCGGCGACTTGTGCAGGGTGTATATTGCATATTTGCATTAGTTGTATTGTTCTTTGGCAGGTTTATATTGTGGGATGTTAGCGAAACGACAAGTCATCGGATTGGCTCAGTCGTTTGGGAAGGGGGATTCCACGCGGGTGAGTGCGGGTTCGATCCCCGCCGTGTACAAGTTAATTGTGACTGACACTCACGACCTGGTGTTTGGGGTTCACCAGAACTGTGACCCGCCCGCAGTTACGTCCCCCACCCACGCAATCGTTTTCATTCAGCATATGACACAGCAGAGTTTTTACGAAAGGTATTTACGAGACGTAATTACCCAGTGATAGGTAAAACAGAAAGCGGTGGAGACAGGGCACGAAATAGATGGCTGAGAGTCACCGGCTACTACTAGCCATTCGTTTTCGAAGCTAGGAACAATTTGAATACAACTCACTTTTCGGTTTTCATCCCCGGCCGTAAGCCATCTTCTTCTCAGCATCAGCTCCACAACCTAGTTAATTCTAACATGATGCGCATATGGAACGGTAACTTGCTGCTCGATTCCTTGATCATCGTAAGATGCCTTGAGCGAATCTGCCGTAAATTCGCGTGCACCATCGTGGCGTGATGAACTTTAGACTTCTTGGTCCGAGTGCAAAACGCAAAGTGAATATATATTTATAATAGGTACTTAGTTCGCAACTTTGAATACTACCTCTAAGCCTATTATTCGCAGTGACGTCATCCAGTGACGTCACCCACTGACGTCATGCAATGACGTCATCCAGTGACGTCATTTCCTGACTTCGCCCTTACTGGTACATACCGGTACCCACCGGTATAGCGAAGCTTGGTCTTCCACTTGCTTCAACACTTGACGCAGCTTGACGAGGTGTCTTCTTCACAGCCGCTGTCTTTTCAACACTCCCTCTCGACTCGTTAGCTGCGGCACCTTGGATCCCAAGTCGATCGCGAATGTTTTCAAATTGTACAGCGGCGATCGGCTTGGTCATCATGTCTGCCAGCATATCTTGAGTCGGGCAATACTCCAAAACGACTTCACCTGATTCCACCTTCTCACGCACAAAATGGTAGCGTATGTCGATGTGTTTTGTTCTCTTATGGAACTCCGGGTTCTTGGCGAGAGCGATTGATCCTTGGTTGTCTTCATACATCTTGATCGCTTCGTCGCTTGTCATCTCACCAAGCTCCCCCAAAAGCACTTTGAGCCATACTGCTTCTTTGGTTGCTTCGGAAAGCGCCATGTATTCTGCTTCTGTTGAAGATAGCGCGACCGTCCGTTGTTTCTGGCTTTTCCAGCTGATGCATCCTCCGCTCATCATGAACACATAGCCGCTTGTACTTCGTCTTGACTCAATGTCGCCGGCCCAGTCTGCGTCGGTGTACCCGCAGATACGGCTTCCTTCTTCACGTGTAAACTCAAGACCATGATTGGGCGTTGCTTGCAGGTATCTCAGCACACGCTTCAAAGCTTGCCAGTGAGTCGGGCATGGGTCGGACGAGAACTGGGATAATGATCCCACTGCAGCAGCTAGATCCGGACGTGTGGCGACCATGAGATACATGATGCCTCCGACAGCACTTCGATATGGCACGTTGCACATGGTGTCTTCGTGCTTGCATTCTTGTTCACACATGTTCTTGGTTAGCTTCAGGCCGGGATCTTGAGGCGTCTTCACTGGCTTGCTGTTATCCATTCCGAACTTGGTTAACACGGACTTGAGAAACTTGGTTTGTTGTACAGTCACCATTCCCGTCTTACGGTCGTTCTTGATCTCCATGCCGAGAAAGTAATCGAGCTCACCGAGATCCGTCATTTCGAAGCGTTTGCTCAGCGCCATCTTGGTTGACTTGAGGAGTTCGTTGTTGCTGCTGGCCAGGATGAGATCATCGACGTAGAGCACCACGAGAATCATGTCTTGGTCGTCTCGCTTGATGTAGATGCAGTGGTCCGATTCGCACTTCTTGAATCCCATCTTGATCATGAACCCATCGATTGTTTGGTTCCACATGCGAGGCGATTGCTTCAAGCCGTAGAGTGATCTCTTTAGCTTGCACACATAGTCCGGCTGTGTTGCATCCAGGTATCCGTCCGGCTGGTCCATGTAGATGTCTTCGTTGAGGGAGCCGTTAAGAAACGCTGTCTTGACGTCCATCTGATGTAGCATTAGGCCGTACTTAGCGGCCATACTGAGCACCACACGAATCGATGTGAACTTGGCCACCGGTGCGAAAGTTTCTTCATAGTCAACTCCGAATTTCTGTGAGAATCCTTTGGCCACAAGTCTTGCCTTGAAACGTTCAACTTCGCCATCTTGATTCTCCTTTACACGAAAAACCCATCGGCACCCGATGGCCTTGCGACCTTTCGGAAGAGGCACGATTTCCCACGTGTCGTTTCTCTGAAGCGAATCGAACTCCGAGTCACACGCTTCTTTCCACTTGCCGGAGTCGCTTGATTCCATCGCCGACTTGAATGTAGTCGGCGTTATTGAGGGTTACCGGTACAATCCGAACATAGCGCGTAGTTCTTACGAGATAGTTTTTACATCGGTAATTACCTCAGAGATGATTAGACGCGTAGGATGATTGGACGCGTGTAAATCAGGTTGATTAGATGCACCATGTGATTGGATGCAGTCTAGGGTAGGCAGAAGTTAAGACCTATAAATCAATCACTTTCGAATCCTCCCTCAAGTGAGCAAGTGTTCTCTGCTTCGTTCTCTCCGGTCTCTCCGCTTCGTTTTCTCTTCGCCTCGCGCTCAAGTTACAACAGGTTATGAGCCCAAGCGCCATGTCGTCCAACAACACCTCGGCCAGTGTCTCCATCGATAAGTTCGATGGGGACAACTACTCAACCTGGTGTCGCTACATGCGCGGCGTGTTTCTGACGAAGTCAGTCTGGTACGTCGTGAACCGCGAAACGTCTCCAACCTTCACCGACACGCGAGCTTCCGACGAGTACGTCAAGGCGAGCAACATCGCGTTCGGGTTGATGTTGCTCCACATGGACGCCGACTACCACCATGTGGTCGACAACTGTGAAGAAGCATGGACAGCGTGGTCGCGGTTGAAGATGCTCTATGGTGGGTCGCAGAAGGCGGGACGCATCTACCTCAAGCGCCAGCTGTTCAGCATCAAGATGGCGGAAGGTGCCAACGTCTTGCACCATTGCAGCGAAGTCTTGAACATCGGCGCCAAGCTCAGCAGCATCGGTGCCAAGATGGAAGACGAAGACATTGCGATCTGCTTGCTGCTCAGCCTCCCGAAGAGTTTCGAGAACGTGGTTCTGAACTTGGAGATGAGCAATGCAGAGCTGCGCACGCAAGATGTGGTCAAGGTGCTGACTAACGAGCACATCAAGCGACAAGGCGAGAAGATGACAACGGCAACGACAACGGTGAAGACTGAAGATGCGACAAAGGCATTCAGTACCGAGCGCAAGCCCTACCAATGCACATACTGCGGCAAGGTGGGGCACACGGCAGAGCGTTGCTGGACGAAGCAAAAGGATGAAAGTCGAGGAGCCCAACGCGGCGGCAATGGTCGTGGACGCGGGGCAAACAATGTCCAGTGGCGACATTATGATGAAGGCAACAGCTACGATCGAGTGGCGTTTGCAGTTTCGTTCGAATGCGGAGTTTCGACGAACAAGAATGGACCAGGAATGTGGGCCGTTGACAGCGGGGCAACACATCACATCTGTCACGACAAGTTCAAGTTTGCAAGCTTGGTCGAAGGCAATGATGGCGAGATCCTGGTGGCTGATGGCAACAAGGCGGCCATCAAAGGTGTGGGGACCATCGTGGAAAAGGTGATTCTGCCAAACGGGGAAGAGCGCGAGATCGAAATCAAGAACGCGCTATATGTTCCAAGTATGAGCAAGAACCTGCTCTCGGTGCCACAGATTAACAGCCATGGCAAGTTTCAAGTCGTGTTTGACGGGTCCAAGATGTATGTGACTCTCAAGAACTCACAGCAAGTGGTGGCGACAGCGGATCTCGTGGATGGACTCTACTGGCTTCGGGCGACTCAACGATCAGCGAATGTGACAACAAGTGGAACCAGTTGTGCCGATCTACATGCGAGAATGGGTCATGCTCCAGTCGATGTACTTCGCAAGATGATCGCGACCAACATGATCAAGGATGTGCGAGTCCCTCTCAAGTCGGGTGGAGCAACTACATGTCGAGGATGTCAACAAGGGAAAATGGTCCAAAAACCATTTCCAAGCAACCGAGACAAGCGCAGCTACGATACGTTTGAGCTACTTCATCTGGACATCTGCGGGCCCATGGAAAAGGATTCGCTCGGTGGCAGCAAATATTTGTTGCTGATCATCGACGAAGCCAGTGGATGCATGAAGGGCTTTTGTCTACGAGTGAAGTCCGAGAGTGAAGACTACATCCGGAAATATATCACCATGGTACAGACGCAATTCTGTAAGAAGGTCAAGTTCGTGCGACACGACGGAGCTCGCGAGTTTGCAACCAACTTGCTTCAACTGTTCTACGAAGAAGTTTCGAAGGCATATCGTGTTTATGACATCGAGGCGGGGCAGGTGGTTATCAGCCGCGATGTCAACTTCGACGAGTCCACCTTTGGACTTCAACTGCCGATCACTGATGAAGATGTCGATGACCTGGACTTCGAATTGCTGGATCTTGATGACGAAGAGCTGCGTCAAATGGAGTACAAGCAAACAGGCAAGCGCAAGAACCGACTCAATGATGAAGATACAGCAGCTCCACGACCGCGTGCAGTGCGTCAACGACCAGGACTAGAAGAGTCAAGCGCGCCGGAAAACAACTCGTCACGACAAGAAGAAGACGAAGAAACGAAGGATTCTGGTGATTCAACACCGCCTGTGTTTTGGCGTGCGAGTGCAAATGCCGTTGAAGCAGCAGTGGACTTATCAGAACCCTCAACATTTGAAGCAGCAGTAAGCGGCCCTGACCAAGTGCACTGGAGAAAAGCAATTCATGCAGAGCTCGAGTCAATGCGACTTCGCGGTGTGTTTCGTGCAGCCAAGCTGCCCAACGGACAACGCGCCATTGGCACAAAATGGGTGTTCAAGATCAAGCGCAAGGCGGATGGGTCAATCGAGAAGTACAAGGCACGACTTGTGGCCAAGGGTTTCCGCCAAAAGTATGGCATCGACTACACGGAGACGTTTTCGCCTGTGGTCAAGTATGTGACGCTGCGAATGGTGATCGCAATTTCCAAGCATTTTGGATGGCCCATCGACCAGCTTGATGTGGTGACAGCTTTCCTGTATGGCGTCATGAAGGAACAAGTGTTCTGCGTGATTCCTGAAGGCGTCGAACTTGACAGTACGTTCGACTGCCTGGAATTGGTGAAGTCAATTTACGGCCTCAAGCAAGCGTCGCGAGTGTGGAACGAGACGTTCGACGTGATGAACTTTAGACTTGTTGGTCCGAGTGCAAAACGCAAAGTGAATATATATTTATAATAGGTACTTAGTTCGCAACTTTGAATACTACCTCTAAGCCTATTATTCGCAGTGACGTCATCCAGTGACGTCACCCACTGACGTCACCCACTGACGTCATGCAATAACGTCATCCAGTGACGTCATTTCCTGACTTCGCCCTTACTGGTACATACCGGTACCCACCGGTATAGCGAAGCTTGGTCTTCCACTTGCTTCAACACTTGACGCAGCTTGACGAGGTGTCTTCTTCACAGCCGCTGTCTTTTCAACACTCCCTCTCGACTCGTTAGCTGCGGCACCTTGGATCCCAAGTCGATCGCGAATGTTTTCAAATTGTACAGCGGCGATCGGCTTGGTCATCATGTCTGCCAGCATATCTTGAGTCGGGCAATACTCCAAAACGACTTCACCTGATTCCACCTTCTCACGCACAAAATGGTAGCGTATGTCGATGTGTTTTGTTCTCTTATGGAACTCCGGGTTCTTGGCGAGAGCGATTGATCCTTGGTTGTCTTCATACATCTTGATCGCTTCGTCGCTTGTCATCTCACCAAGTTCCCCCAAAAGCACTTTGAGCCATACTGCTTCTTTGGTTGCTTCGGAAAGCGCCATGTATTCTGCTTCTGTTGAAGATAGCGTGACCGTCCGTTGTTTCTGGCTTTTCCAGCTGATGCATCCTCCGCTCATCATGAACACATAGCCGCTTGTACTTCGTCTTGACTCAATGTCGCCGGCCCAGTCTGCGTCGGTGTACCCGCAGATACGGCTTCCTTCTTCACGTGTAAACTCAAGACCATGATTGGGCGTTGCTTGCAGGTATCTCAGCACACGCTTCAAAGCTTGCCAGTGAGTCGGGCATGGGTCGGACGAGAACTGGGATAATGATCCCACTGCAGCAGCTAGATCCGGACGTGTGGCGACCATGAGATACATGATGCCTCCGACAGCACTTCGATATGGCACGTTGCACATGGTGTCTTCGTGCTTGCATTCTTGTTCACACATGTTCTTGGTTAGCTTCAGGCCGGGATCTTGAGGCGTCTTCACTGGCTTGCTGTTATCCATTCCGAACTTGGTTAACACGGACTTGAGAAACTTGGTTTGTTGTACAGTCACCATTCCCGTCTTACGGTCGTTCTTGATCTCCATGCCGAGAAAGTAATCGAGCTCACCGAGATCCGTCATTTCGAAGCGTTTGCTCAGCGCCATCTTGGTTGACTTGAGGAGTTCGTTGTTGCTGCTGGCCAGGATGAGATCATCGACGTAGAGCACCACGAGAATCATGTCTTGGTCGTCTCGCTTGATGTAGATGCAGTGGTCCGATTCGCACTTCTTGAATCCCATCTTGATCATGAACCCATCGATTGTTTGGTTCCACATGCGAGGCGATTGCTTCAAGCCGTAGAGTGATCTCTTTAGCTTGCACACATAGTCCGGCTGTGTTGCATCCAGGTATCCGTCCGGCTGGTCCATGTAGATGTCTTCGTTGAGGGAGCCGTTAAGAAACGCTGTCTTGACGTCCATCTGATGTAGCATTAGGCCGTACTTAGCCGCCATACTGAGCACCACACGAATCGATGTGAACTTGGCCACCGGTGCGAAAGTTTCTTCATAGTCAACTCCGAATTTCTGTGAGAATCCTTTGGCCACAAGTCTTGCCTTGAAACGTTCAACTTCGCCATCTTGATTCTCCTTTACACGAAAAACCCATCGGCACCCGATGGCCTTGCGACCTTTCGGAAGAGGCACGATTTCCCACGTGTCGTTTCTCTGAAGCGAATCGAACTCCGAGTCACACGCTTCTTTCCACTTGCCGGAGTCGCTTGATTCCATCGCCGACTTGAATGTAGTCGGCGTTTCCCCCACTGAATCAACGATTTAGGCTGCTTCAAAATCCATTGCAGCCGCTGACACATGCTCAAGCGACGGACCTCTGTATGTTCTTCGCTTGGGACTTGGAATGACGGTAGCTTTCTCAAGTGATTGAGTGCGCGTGTGTCTCTTGATGTTGCTCTTCGAAGACCTGGTGTCTTCGTTGTCATCGTCGCTCGAGTCCATGTCGTCGTCAGTTTTACCTTCTTCTTTTTCTTCGTCCTCATCATGATCATCAAACTCAACGACACTTGACTCATCGTTGTAGTTGCGCGGACCTTCATCAAACTTGTCTTCCATGAATGTGGCATCGCGACTGATCTTGATCGCTCCTGTTGACACTTCCTCAAATCGATATGACTTCTGGTGTTCGGCGTATCCCAGGAAACGACAGAGTGATGACTTGGAGTCGAACTTCGCGCGTTTGTCTTGAGGCACTTGAACATACGCGTGGCATCCAAACACTTTAAGGTTGGCCAGAATCGGTTTCTTCATCGTCCACACTTGATATGGAGACTTGTCTTGGTGAATGGCACGTGTTGGACAGCGGTTTCGAAGAAACATCGCCGTCATCACTGCTTCACCCCAGTAGCTCTTTCCCAGTCCAGCGTGTTCCATCATGTAACGCGCACACTCGACCAGCGTGCGATTCATTCTCTCAGCTACTCCGTTTAGCTGAGGAGTATATGGGGGTGTGAACCTTTGTTGTATTCCCCGTTCCGCGCAGAATCGTGCCAGCTTGTCGGACTTGTATTCACCCCCATTGTCGCTTTGAAGGTACTTCACGCGCTTTCCGGTTTGCGTTTCGGCCATCGCAGCGTATTCCATGAACTTCGCCGCAACTTCAGATTTGCTCTTGAGCAGATAGACGACACAGTATCTTGACTTGTCATCAATGAATGTCACGAAGTACCGTTTTCCACTGAAAGTTGCCATCGACATCGGTCCGCATACGTCGCTGTGAATCACTTCGAGGAGTTTGGAGGTGCGAGCTGTAGTGTTTGATTGGAAGCGCACTCGAGTCTGTTTTCCCAGAGCACAACCTTCACACACGTCCCACTTCTTCACCGAAGATATGTCGATGCCAATTCCAATGTTCTTCGTCACGATGCAATTGAGTCCATCATGACCTATGTGGCCAAGCCGAAGGTGCCAGAGGTACGACTTGGTGCCCCCTTGACATCCCGACGACTTGGCTGCATTTGCTTGTTCCGGCGCCACTGGAGTCATTTGCAGCTTGAACAGTTCTTTACCTTCACGGGCACCAATTTTCCACTTGGTCCCTTTCGCTTCTCCATAGCACCCATCCTTCGTGAACGTCACTGGGCCGACATCCTTGGTGAAGCGGCCGACCGAGAACAGGTTTCTGGATAACTTTGGGATGTGCCACACGTTTGTGAGCACACCTTTCTTCATCCCTTGGGGTGTCTTCATCGACATGACAATGTCCCCACTGCCGATTGCTTGGACGATTCCATCATCCGCGAGATGGACATCCACAGCGTCAAACCCCTTGTAGTTCCGCATGAACTTCTTGGAGCACGTCATGTGCTGCGTCGCCCCGGAGTCGACCAGCCAGATGTCGCTCGATTTCGCAGATGTCGTTTCACCGATCGAAAAGAGGTAGTCGCCCGAGTCTTCTTCTTGAGCGACGTTTGCACGTTGTGATCGATAGCGGTCGCCGCTGTCTTGAGCACGCTGTGGCCGGTGTCTCTCCGTGTTTTCTTGGATGCGCGAGGGACACTCCGCCATCCAGTGACCAATCTTTCCGCAATTGTGGCACGGCCAGGACTTCTTCACTGGTCGCCCTTTGCGCTGATTGTCCCTTGTGATGAACGCTTGACCTTGCGAAGCTTCATCACCTTTACTTCCTTGCTCCTTCCGCTTCATTTCTTCATGAAGCAGTCGAGACGTCACGAGCTCCCAGCTAAGAGTGTCTGAGCGCGACTCCAAAGCTGTGATCAAGAATTGATACGAGTCACTCAGGCTGCCGAGGAGTGTGATCACCAGATCGTCCTCGCAGACTGGAGCCCCCACCGCTTCTAGCTGTTCCGCCAGCGTCTTGAGCTTGTTGATGTGTTCGAGCACATCGTCGCCTTCTTCCATCATTGTCGTGAAGAAGCGACGGCGCAAGAACAGCTTGTTGGCAAGACTCTTCTTCTCGAAGTGGTCTTCCAACCTTGACCATGCGTCGCATGCACCACTTGCCGACCGGACCAACGGTAGCTGGGAATCTTCCATGGCTAGACAGATCACTGCCATCGCCTTTCTTGACTTCCTCTTGTACGTCGCTTGGTCCAACTGAGTCTCGCACTGTTCCGCCTTGATCTCACCGCTGACGACCTCCCATAGGTCCCGTTCCTCCAGCACCATCTGCATCTTGAACTTCCAGGCGTGGAAGTTAGTTCCATCGAACTTGGAGATGCGGAGGGAGGAGGCGTCCATGGCAGCTAAGCTTGAATTGTTGGCGGTTTCAGAGTCTGACGAACTTGGGCTCATAACCTGATGAACTTTAGACTTCTTGGTCCGAGTGCAAAACGCAAAGTGAATATATATTTATAATAGGTACTTAGTTCGCAACTTTGAATACTACCTCTAAGCCTATTATTCGCAGTGACGTCATCCAGTGACGTCACCCACTGACGTCACCCACTGACGTCATGCAATGACGTCATCCAGTAACGTCATTTCCTGACTTCGCCCTTACTGGTACATACCGGTACCCACCGGTATAGCGAAGCTTGGTCTTCCACTTGCTTCAACACTTGACGCAGCTTGACGAGGTGTCTTCTTCACAGCCGCTGTCTTTTCAACACGACGAGTATGTGTGCTCCATCGGATTTCAAGTATCGGACTTCGACCCATGTCTCTGCATCAAGACTTCGGACGGCCATTGCGTGTTTATACTGGTCTACGTGGACGACGTCTTGGTGACTGGAAGCTCGCTCGAGCTGATTGCACAAACCAAGAACGACCTGAAGACGCGGTTCGAAATGACGGACAGCGGCAAGTGTGCGTTTGTTCTTGGGATCGAGCTTTTGGACGGTGAAGATGGCAGTGTGACACTATGTCAGCGTCGGTATGTCGATGATATCCTCAAGCGCTTTGGCATGGATGATTGCAAGGCAGTCGCAAGTCCAGTCGACATGAGCTCTCGACTTGTTTCAAGTGATGCAACTACCAAGGTCGATGCTCCTTTTCGCGAAGCTGTTGGTGCGTTGATGCACCTGACCACTGCAACGCGTCCGGACATTGCGTTTGCTGTGGGCTATGTGTCGCGGTTCATGGAAAATCCCCAAGAAGAACACTGGGTTGCAGTTAAGCGTATCTTTCGCTACCTACAAGGCACCAAGACGCATGGAATTTGCTACAAGCCAAGTGCAAGGATCGACTTCCGTGGATATTCGGATGCGGATTGGGCTGGTGATCTTACCGACCGCAAGTCAACATCGGGGTACACGTTCATGCTACTCGGTGCGCCAGTCAGTTGGGGCAGCAAGAAGCAGCCAAGTGTTTCGTTGTCCACGAGTGAAGCCGAATACATCGCACTCAGCTTGGCGATTCAAGAGGGCAAGTGGATTCATTGTCTGCTTTGTGAGATCGTGATGGCTGCCAATGAAGAAGGACCGGAACTCATGATCCATGAAGACAATCAGTCGTGTATCAAGATGACGAAGAACCCAGTCAACCACGGCCGTGCCAAGCACATTGATATCAAGTACCATCACATCCGTGATGAGGTCAAGCGCGGTGAAGTGAAGCTCAAGTACTGTGAAACTGCGGTGATGTTAGCGGACATCATGACGAAGGGACTTCACGGGCCACGCCACAAGGAGATGACGGCGACTCTCGGGATTCGTGAGCATTCGGATTGAGGGGGGCGTGTTGACGGTCATCGGTTTTCTACCAGTATTGGTAACCGTGACCGATCCAATCCGAACCGCCTGTTCAGCTTAGTATTTACGACGTAGTTCTTACGGTAATTACCATAGTTGATTAGACGCGTAGGATGATGAGACGCTTCACATGATTTATATGTACACCACATATAAATCATGTAGTAAGTAGTAAGCCCCGATAATCAATCACTTTCGAATCTTCCAACTATTGGGCAAGTGTTTTCTGCTCTACTCTCTTCGGTCTCTCCGCTCCGTTTGCTCCGCTTTCCTCGCTCCGATCTACAATGCAACAGATCGCGCCTTGGCCTCTTGGCAGTTTTGTCGCACGGAAAACTCCACGAAGATGCATCGACTTGAGTTCCGCCTTCACAGCATTTCGCCATTGAGCTTGATCAGGACCATTGATCGCGTCTTGAAAAGTCACAGGTTCTGCTAGGCCCGTTGCTTCCACTGCGTTTGCACTTGCAAGCCAAAATGTTGGAGGCGTCGAGTCGTCATCTCGATCGTAGACGCTCGCATCTTCTTCGTCATCAGACATCGTTTCTGGAGCACTTGATCGTCGTTTCTGGTGACGGTTGGAGACGTGTTCCGGCGCACTTGCTTGTTCCAACCCCAGTTCGAGGGCGAGCTGAACGTGACATGCCGGGTCTTGCTTCACTCTTGCGCTTGCCAGTCTGCTTGTAGACGGTTTGACGCACGTTGTCCTCGTTGATCGCTAGGAGGTCGAGGTCCAACTCCGCATCTTCATCATCGTCACTTGGTCGGTCCATCGAAAAGTCAAAAGTCGATTCGTCGAAGGTGATGTCACGACTGATCACCACTTGGCCCGCCTCAATGTCGTACACTCGATAAGCTTTTGACGCTTCTTCGTAGCCCATGAACATCCCTTCACGAGCCTTCGGGTCCCACTTCAATCGCTTCTCCCTTGGTGTCAGGATAAACGCCCGACATCCAAACACGCGCATGTGCTTGACACTTGGTTTCGACTTGTACACGATCTCGACCGGAGTCTTGTGGTCGATCTTGGGTGAAGGCAGGCGGTTCTTGATGTAGATCGCCGTCATTGCCGCTTCAGCCCAGAAACACTTCTCCAGCTTTGCATGATGCAACAAGCTGCGTCCGATCGTGACGATGGTCCTTATCGCGCGTTCTGCGGTGCCGTTGGTCTGGTGTGCATACGGCACCGTGATCTGTTGTTGCTCGATACCATGATCTTCGTAGAAGGTCTTGATGGAGTTGGTCGCAAACTCATGCGCTCCATCGTGCCGAACAAACTTGATCTTCGTGCCGAACTGAGTTTGAATCTTGATAATGTGGTTCTTGATACAGTCTTCACTCTCAGACTTGGACCGCAGACAGAAGCCTTTCATGCAACCGCTGGCTTCGTCAACCACAAACAGTAAGTATCTGCTGCCGCCGATCGAGACTTGTTCCATTGGCCCGCAGATGTCGACGTGCAGCAACTCGAACACACCATATTGGTGTTTGTCACGGTTGGTTGGGAATGGTTTTTGGACCATCTTTCCTTGCTGGCAACCGCGACACACACTTGGACCAGTCGAGTCGAGGAGGTGCCTTGGCGTCCTTGATCATGCCAGTGGCCACCATCTTGCGCAGAACTTCGAGGGGTGCATGATCCATGCGCGCATGCAAGTCGATAGTCCCATTGCGTGTTGCTGCATTTTGCCGATCGTTGAGGAGTCCACAGCCAGTAAAGTCCATCGACGAGATCCGCTGTTGCCACGACTTGTGTGGAATTCTTGCGCTTCGCTTGCATCTTGGACCCATCGAACACGACTTGGAACCTGCCACCCTTGTTGATCTGTGGCACCGAAAGCAGATTCTTGCTCATACTTGGTACGAACAGTGCGTCCTTGATCTCGATGTCGCGTTCGTCACCATTGGGCAGAACCACCCGTTCCATGATGGTTCCCACACCCTTGATCGCAGCCTTGCTGCCATCAGCCACTGATAGTTCGCCTTCCTCTCGCTCATTCAGGCTTGCAAACTTGGCCTTGTCGTTGCAGATGTGATGCGTCGCACCGCTGTCGACTGCCCACATCCCTGGCATATTCTTGCCCGTCGAAAGTCCAGCCTCCAGCGAAACCGCGAACGCAACTCGATCGTAGTTGTCATCGTAGTTGCTGTTGGTTCGCCACTGAACGTTGTTGGCTCCGCGTCCACGAGCATTGTTGCCGCCGCGTCGAGCTCCACCTTGATTTTCGTCCTTCTGCTTGGTCCAGCACCGCTCCGCCGTGTGCCCCAATTTTCCGCAGTATGTACACTGGCGAGGTTCACGCTCGGTGCTGAACGCCTTCGCCGCGTCTTCAGTCTTCACCGATGTCGTCTTGTCACCTTGCCTCTTGATGTGCTCATTCGTGAGCACTCTCACGACGTCTCGCGATCGCAGTTCCGCGCTGCTCATCTCCAAGTTGAGAACGACGTTCTCGTAGCTCTTGGGGAGGCTGCGCAACAAGCAGATCGCCACGTCCTCGTCCTCCATCTTGGCGCCGATGCTGCTGAGCTTCGCGCTGATGTTGAGGACTTCGTTGCAATGATGCATCACATTGCCGCCTTCCTCCATCTCCATGCTGAACAGCTGGCGCTTCAAGTAGATGCGTCCAGCCTTCTGCGACCCGCCGTACAGCATCTTTAAAAGCGCCCACGCGACCCACGCCTCTTCACAGTCATCGACGATGTGATGGTAGTCTGCGTCCATGTGCAGCAACGTCAGTCCGAAAGCGATGTTGTTGGCCTTGACGTAGTCGTCCATGGCGCGATCGTCCGCGTAGGTCGGCGAGGTCTCCCGGTTCACAGCGTGCCACGCCGACTTAGTCAGGAACACGCCACGCATGTAGCGGCTCCATGTCGCGTAGTTGTCGCCGTCGAACTTGTCAATGGAGATCTTGGTGGTGGCATCATGAGCAGAGGACATCGTGCTTGGGCTCATAACCTGTTAATAGGTGTAAAGCTTGACGACCGAAACTGGGAGTGATGCTGGGAGTCCACTCGGAAGACCGGAGAAGACACTTGGGGGGTAGATGGAAGATTGGAAAGTGATTGATTATCGGGGCTTACTACTTACTACATGATTTATATGTGGTGCACATATAAATCATGTGAGAAGCGTCTCATCATCCTACGCGTCTAATCAACTATGGTAATTACCGTAAGAACTACGTCGTAAAGACTAAGCTGAACCGGCGGTTCGGATTGGACCGGTCACGGTTACCAATACTGGTAGAAACCGATGACCGTCAATAGACAACAAGTGTCGATGCGCTTGGCCCGACCATGGTTCACAGGATTCTTCGTCATCTTGACGCACGATTGGTTGTCTAACATGATCTTGAGCTCGGGTCACAGACTTGTCCTCTGCGGCATCCAGAATCTCGCATAGCAATCGATGCACCACTTGCCTTCTTGAATAGCCAGACTTAAGGCAATGTACTCAGCTTCACTTGTTGACAGCGACACACTTAACTGCTTTTTGATTCCCCAGCTCACCGGAGCACCCATCAGGATGAACGCATATCCCGAAGTCGACTTGCGGTCTGCATTGATGAACTTTAGACTTCTTGGTCCGAGTGCAAAACGCAAAGTGAATATATATTTATAATAGGTACTTAGTTCGCAACTTTGAATACTACCTCTAAGCCTATTATTCGCAGTGACGTCATCCAGTGACGTCACCCACTGACGTCACCCACTGACGTCATGCAATGACGTCATCCAGTGACGTCATTTCCTGACTTCGCCCTTACTGGTACATACCGGTACCCACCGGTATAGCGAAGCTTGGTCTTCCACTTGCTTCAACACTTGACGCAGCTTGACGAGGTGTCTTCTTCACAGCCGCTGTCTTTTCAACACTCCCTCTCGACTCGTTAGCTGCGGCACCTTGGATCCCAAGTCGATCGCGAATGTTTTCAAATTGTACAGCGGCGATCGGCTTGGTCATCATGTCTGCCAGCATATCTTGAGTCGGGCAATACTCCAAAACGACTTCACCTGATTCCACCTTCTCACGCACAAAATGGTAGCGTATGTCGATGTGTTTTGTTCTCTTATGGAACTCCGGGTTCTTGGCGAGAGCGATTGATCCTTGGTTGTCTTCATACATCTTGATCGCTTCGTCGCTTGTCATCTCACCAAGTTCCCCAAAAGCACTTTGAGCCATACTGCTTCTTTGGTTGCTTCGGAAAGCGCCATGTATTCTGCTTCTGTTGAAGATAGCGCGACCGTCCGTTGTTTCTGGCTTTTCCAGCTGATGCATCCTCCGCTCATCATGAACACATAGCCGCTTGTACTTCGTCTTGACTCAATGTCGCCGGCCCAGTCTGCGTCGGTGTACCCGCAGATACGGCTTCCTTCTTCACGTGTAAACTCAAGACCATGATTGGGCGTTGCTTGCAGGTATCTCAGCACACGCTTCAAAGCTTGCCAGTGAGTCGGGCATGGGTCGGACGAGAACTGGGATAATGATCCCACTGCAGCAGCTAGATCCGGACGTGTGGCGACCATGAGATACATGATGCCTCCGACAGCACTTCGATATGGCACGTTGCACATGGTGTCTTCGTGCTTGCATTCTTGTTCACACATGTTCTTGGTTAGCTTCAGGCCGGGATCTTGAGGCGTCTTCACTGGCTTGCTGTTATCCATTCCGAACTTGGTTAACACGGACTTGAGAAACTTGGTTTGTTGTACAGTCACCATTCCCGTCTTACGGTCGTTCTTGATCTCCATGCCGAGAAAGTAATCGAGCTCACCGAGATCCGTCATTTCGAAGCGTTTGCTCAGCGCCATCTTGGTTGACTTGAGGAGTTCGTTGTTGCTGCTGGCCAGGATGAGATCATCGACGTAGAGCACCACGAGAATCATGTCTTGGTCGTCTCGCTTGATGTAGATGCAGTGGTCCGATTCGCACTTCTTGAATCCCATCTTGATCATGAACCCATCGATTGTTTGGTTCCACATGCGAGGCGATTGCTTCAAGCCGTAGAGTGATCTCTTTAGCTTGCACACATAGTCCGGCTGTGTTGCATCCAGGTATCCGTCCGGCTGGTCCATGTAGATGTCTTCGTTGAGGGAGCCGTTAAGAAACGCTGTCTTGACGTCCATCTGATGTAGCATTAGGCCGTACTTAGCCGCCATACTGAGCACCACACGAATCGATGTGAACTTGGCCACCGGTGCGAAAGTTTCTTCATAGTCAACTCCGAATTTCTGTGAGAATCCTTTGGCCACAAGTCTTGCCTTGAAACGTTCAACTTCGCCATCTTGATTCTCCTTTACACGAAAAACCCATCGGCACCCGATGGCCTTGCGACCTTTCGGAAGAGGCACGATTTCCCACGTGTCGTTTCTCTGAAGCGAATCGAACTCCGAGTCACATGCTTCTTTCCACTTGCCGGAGTCGCTTGATTCCATCGCCGACTTGAATGTAGTCGGCGTTTCCCCACTGAATCAACGATGTAGGCTGCTTCAAAATCCATTGCAGCCGCTGACACATGCTCAAGCGACGGACCTCTGTATGTTCTTCGCTTGGGACTTGGAATGACGGTAGCTTTCTCAAGTGATTGAGTGCGCGTGTGTCTCTTGATGTTGCTCTTCGAAGACCTGGTGTCTTCGTTGTCATCGTCGCTCGAGTCCATTTCGTCGTCAGTTTTACCTTCTTCTTTTTCTTCGTCCTCATCATGATCACAAAACTCAACGACACTTGACTCATCGTTGTAGTTGCGCGGACCTTCATCAAACTTGTCTTCCATGAATGTGGCATCGCGACTGATCTTGATCGCTCCTGTTGACACTTCCTCAAATCGATATGACTTCTGGTGTTCGGCGTATCCCAGGAAACGACAGAGTGATGACTTGGAGTCGAACTTCGCGCGTTTGTCTTGAGGCACTTGAACATACGCGTGGCATCCAAACACTTTAAGGTTGGCCAGAATCGGTTTCTTCATCGTCCACACTTGATATGGAGACTTGTCTTGGTGAATGGCACGTGTTGGACAGCGGTTTCGAAGAAACATCGCCGTCATCACTGCTTCACCCCAGTAGCTCTTTCCCAGTCCAGCGTGTTCCATCATGCAACGCGCACACTCGACCAGCGTGCGATTCATTCTCTCAGCTACTCCGTTTAGCTGAGGAGTATATGGGGGTGTGAACCTTTGTTGTATTCCCGTTCCGCGCAGAATCGTGCCAGCTTGTCGGACTTGTATTCACCCCCATTGTCGCTTTGAAGGTACTTCACGCGCTTTCCGGTTTGCGTTTCGGCCATCGCAGCGTATTCCATGAACTTCGCCGCAACTTCAGATTTGCTCTTGAGCAGATAGACGACACAGTATCTTGACTTGTCATCAATGAATGTCACGAAGTACCGTTTTCCACTGAAAGTTGCCATCGACATCGGTCCGCATACGTCGCTGTGAATCACTTCGAGGAGTTTGGAGGTGCGAGCTGTAGTGTTTGATTGGAAGCGCACTCGAGTCTGTTTTCCCAGAGCACAACCTTCACACACGTCCCACTTCTTCACCGAAGATATGTCGATGCCAATTCCAATGTTCTTCGTCACGATGCAATTGAGTCCATCGTGACCTATGTGGCCAAGCCGAAGGTGCCAGAGGTACGACTTGGTGCCCCCTTGACATCCCGACGACTTGGCTGCATTTGCTTGTTCCGGCGCCACTGGAGTCATTTGCAGCTTGAACAGTCCTTTACCTTCACGGGCACCAATTTTCCACTTGGTCCCTTTCGCTTCTCCATAGCACCCATCCTTCGTGAACGTCACTGGGCCGACATCCTTGGTGAAGCGGCCGACCGAGAACAGGTTTCTGGATAACTTTGGGATGTGCCACACGTTTGTGAGCACACCTTTCTTCATCCCTTGGGGTGTCTTCATTGACATGACAATGTCCCCACTGCCGATTGCTTGGACGATTCCATCATCCGCGAGATGGACATCCACAGCGTCAAACCCCTTGTAGTTCCGCATGAACTTCTTGGAGCACGTCATGTGCTGCGTCGCCCCGGAGTCGACCAGCCAGATGTCGCTCGATTTCGCAGATGTCGTTTCACCGATCGAAAAGAGGTAGTCGCCCGAGTCTTCTTCTTGAGCGACGTTTGCACGTTGTGATCGATAGCGGTCGCCGCTGTCTTGAGCACGCTGTGGCCGGTGTCTCTCCGTGTTTTCTTGGATGCGCGAGGGGCACTCCGCCATCCAGTGACCAATCTTTCCGCAATTGTGGCACGGCCAGGACTTCTTCACTGGTCGCCCTTTGCGCTGATTGTCCCTTGTGATGAACGCTTGACCTTGCGAAGCTTCATCACCTTTACTTCCTTGCTCCTTCCGCTTCATTTCTTCATGAAGCAGTCGAGACGTCACGAGCTCCCAGCTAAGAGTGTCTGAGCGCGACTCCAAAGCTGTGATCAAGAATTGATACGAGTCACTCAGGCTGCCGAGGAGTGTGATCACCAGATCGTCCTCGCAGACTGGAGCCCCCACCGCTTCTAGCTGTTCCGCCAGCGTCTTGAGCTTGTTGATGTGTTCGAGCACATCGTCGCCTTCTTCCATCATTGTCGTGAAGAAGCGACGGCGCAAGAACAGCTTGTTGGCAAGACTCTTCTTCTCGAAGTGGTCTTCCAACCTTGACCATGCGTCGCATGCACCACTTGCCGACCGGACCAACGGTAGCTGGGAATCTTCCATGGCTAGACAGATCACTGCCATCGCCTTTCTTGACTTCCTCTTGTACGTCGCTTGGTCCAACTGAGTCTCGCACTGTTCCGCCTTGATCTCACCGCTGACGACCTCCCATAGGTCCCGTTCCTCCAGCACCATCTGCATCTTGAACTTCCAGGCGTGGAAGTTAGTTCCATCGAACTTGGAGATGCGGAGGGAGGAGGCGTCCATGGCAGCTAAGCTTGAATTGTTGGCGGTTTCAGAGTCTGACGAACTTGGGCTCATAACCTGATGAACTTTAGACTTCTTGGTCCGAGTGCAAAACGCAAAGTGAATATATATTTATAATAGGTACTTAGTTCGCAACTTTGAATACTACCTCTAAGCCTATTATTCGCAGTGACGTCATCCAGTGACGTCACCCACTGACGTCACCCACTGACGTCATGCAATGACGTCATCCAGTGACGTCATTTCCTGACTTCGCCCTTACTGGTACATACCGGTACCCACCGGTATAGCGAAGCTTGGTCTTCCACTTGCTTCAACACTTGACGCAGCTTGACGAGGTGTCTTCTTCACAGCCGCTGTCTTTTCAACATGCATGGTCGCCGGCCCAGTCTACATCCAAGTAGCCGCAGAAGTCTACCTTGTCATCAGACTTGAAACCGATGCCGTGCGACTTAGTCCCTTGTAAGTATCGCAAAATGCGCTCGACCGCCATCCAGTGCTCGACTTGGAGGTTTTCCATGAAGCGCGAAATTTAACTCACAGCAAAGGCAATGTCCGGTCGTGTCGCGGTCATCAAGTGCATTAAAGCGCCTACTGCTTCACAAAACGGGGCGTCCATTTTGGTTACTGCACTGTTTGTTATGAGTCAAGAACTGATGTCTGTTGGGCTGGTGACGGCTTTGCAGTCGCTCATGCCAAAACGCTTGAGAACATCTTCCACGTAGCGTCGCTGGCACATCGTCAGGCTACCGTTGTCGTTGTCCACCATCTCGATGCCCAACACGAATGCGCACTTGCCGCTGTCAGTCATTTCGAAACGCGCCTTCAAGTCACTCTTGGTACGCATAATCAGTTCGGTCGAGCTGCCAGTCACCAACACATCATCGACGTATACCAGCAAAAGCACGCACTCGCCACTTGTAATTTTGAGATAAAGACACGGGTCAAAATCGGATACTTGAAATCCAATGGAGCAGACGAACTCATAGAAAGTCTCGTTCCATACGCGCGATGCTTGTTTTAGTCCGTAGATCGCCTTCACCAATTCGAAGCAGTCAAAGTCTTCATCAACTTCGACCCCTTCTGGGATCGCGCAGAATACCTTTTCCTTCATCTCTCCGCATAGCAAAGCTGTCACCACGTCCAGTAGGTCCAGTTTCCAGTCAAAGTACTTCGTGATTGCAACTACCATGCGCAGCGTCACGTACTTGACTACCGGCAAAAACGTCTCCGTGTAGTCGATGCCATATTTCTGCTTGAACCCTTTTGCCACGAGACGCGCCTTGTATTTCTCGATGGATCCATCAGCTTTCCGCTTGATATTGAATACCCACTTGGTGCCAATGGTATACTGTCCAGCTGGCAGTTTGGTCGCTCGAAGCACGCCACGAAGTTTCATCGAGTCCAACTCAGCACAGATAGCTTTACACCAATGCACTTGATCCGGTCCATCAACAGCATCTTTAAACGTTGTCAGCTCAGACAAGTCAGTACCTTCGACTGCGTTGGCACTCGCTCGCCAAAAGACTTGAGGTGTAGCATCCTCGTTATCTTCGTCACTGCCCTTTCGCTCTTCGTCCAGATTGGCTCGAGCGCTTGACCGTCGCTTCGCTTGGTGCGATTCAAAGTTATCCGGGGCACTTGCTTCTTCTAACCCGGTTCCACGACGCTCAGGAAGTGTCCGTTGTAGAACTTGTTCTTGGCTGTTTGGACGGCTTCTGCGTTTTCCAGTTTGCTTGAACTGCATGGGGGTGAGGCTCATCGCTGATGTTCATCGATTCGATATCCAGCGCAGTGTCATCAGCAATTTCGTGTGGTAGAGTCGGCGAGAAACCAAGCGTTGATCCGTCGAATGTGACATCGCGAGATATCACCACTTGATCCGCTTCAATGTCGTAAACGCGATATGCCTTCGACACTTCTTCGTACCCCATGAATAGTCCTTCACGAGCCTTCGGATCCCGTTTCGATCTCTTTTCCTTAGGGGTCAGCACAAACGTTCGGCAGCCGAAAACCCGCACGTGCTTCACACTTGGTCGAAATCCGTTGACAATCTCGAACGGGGTTTGATCTTGGCACTTGGGCGATGGTAGGCGATTCTTGATGTAGACCGCCGTCATTGCTGCTTCAACTCAAAAGCACTTGTCCAGCTTGGCGTAGTGAAGCATGCTGCGCCCGATCGTCACAATGGTCCGAATTGCCCGTTCCGCCGTGCCGTTGGTCTGATGTGTTAGCGAGTGATGATGCGGCGACTTGTGCAGGGTGTATATTGCATATTTGCATTAGTTGTATTGTTCTTTGGCAGGTTTATATTGTGGGATGTTAGCGAAACGACAAGTCATCGGATTGGCTCAGTCGTTTGGGAAGGGGGATTCCACGCGGGTGAGTGCGGGTTCGATCCCCGCCGTGTACAAGTTAATTGTGACTGACACTCACGACCTGGTGTTTGGGGTTCACCAGAACTGTGACCCGCCCGCAGTTACGTCCCCCACCCACGCAATCGTTTTCATTCAGCATATGACACAGCAGAGTTTTTACGAAAGGTATTTACGAGACGTAATTACCCAGTGATAGGTAAAACAGAAAGCGGTGGAGACAGGGCACGAAATAGATGGCTGAGAGTCACCGGCTACTACTAGCCATTCGTTTTCGAAGCTAGGAACAATTTGAATACAACTCACTTTTCGGTTTTCATCCCCGGCCGTAAGCCATCTTCTTCTCAGCATCAGCTCCACAACCTAGTTAATTCTAACAGGTTATGAGCCCAAAGAACGACTCCGGTTTCAAGGTCGAGCCTTTCGACGGCTCGAACTATGGGTTGTGGAGTTACAAGATGAAGATGTACCTGATGTCGAAGGGGCTGTGGGGCGCGATCGCGGGCGATGAGACAACAAGTGAGGCCAAGGAACAGCAAGCCCACCGCGTGCTGAATCTGAGCGATTCACAGTTGATGCATGTCATCGACTCGGCCACCGCAAGAGAAGCGTGGGGACGTCTGGCGCGATTTCATCACAGTCATGACATGGCGAATCGACTTTGGCTGAAGGAAAAGTTCGCGTCGTTCAAGTATGCAGCATCAAGCATGAGCGGTCATGTGATGGAGCTGGAGGACCTCGTGATGAAGATGAAGCGCGCGAACTGCGGTCCAAGTGAAGAGGACGTGTGCGCAGTACTGTTGCGGAGTCTACCTTCAAGCTTCGAGAGCTTGGTACAGGCATTCCGCATGTCCGTCGCAAGCTTCAGTTTCAGTGACCTCGTGAGCAAGTTGATCGCCGAAGAAGTGCGCCAGAATGAGGGAGCACGAGTAGAAGATGCAACGGCGCTCTACGCAGGCAAGAGGAAGGGTAAGCAGTACCCGAAGAAGCAACAAGGACGGCGCGCGAAAGGACCATCAGGGACCTGCTACAACTGTGGCAAGGTCGGACACTACGCCAGAGATTGTCGCTCCGGTCGAGGGCCAAGGGAGCAACAGCATGACCAGTCGAATGTCGCGTTTCATGCCAGCGAAGGTTTCGCGAGCAACAGCTGGGTCATGGACAGTGGCGCGTCAGCACACATGTGCAAGGATCGAGATGCGTTCGAAGAGTACGAAGAAGTGCATCATGCGCGAAGCATTTCAAGCGCAAAGAGCGACGTGAAGCTGAATGTCATTGGACATGGGACAGTGAAGCTGCGCGTCTGGACAGGACATGCGTGGATCGACGCTCGCCTTGAGAACACACTTCACGTTCAAGATTTGTCCAAGAACCTGTTTTTCGCTCACGGCTGCGGCAGCGCGCGGCATGACAGTGGAGATAACGCGCAACGAGTGCGTGGTCAAGCGTGGCGGCACACCCGTCGCAACAGGAAGGAAGCAGGGGTTCCTCCTGTATCTCAATGCTGACTGTGGTACGGAGTGCCACATGGCCGAAGACGATACAGAGCTATGGCATAGAAGATTGGGTCACGTGTCGTATGGTACGCTGAATGCCATGGTCAAGGACGGAAGGATAAAGGGCGCAACGATGAAGACGAACGTTGCGTGTGACGTATGCGCAACGTCAAATCAAGTGCGCAAGTCATTCAAGACAAGTGAAGAAGACGCTGAAACCAGGTAGAGTTCGCGTTCCGACGTGGTGGTGTGCTCCGACGTTCTCGGACCTATCACGCCAGCGTCCAAGTCTGGTTTCAGTTACGCCGTAACCTTCATCATGATGAAGAGCAGGTATGTAACGGTCTATCCGTTGCGAAAGAAGAGCGACGTTGCGAGTGCGTTCAAGCGGTTTTACCAAGATGTCAAGACAGCATCTGGAACGAAGATAAAGGTGTTGCGAAGTGACAACGGCGGCGAATACCGGAACGAAACGATGAACAGCTTTTGCAAGGCAAAGTTCATTAAGCAAGAGTTCACGGTTCCGTACAATCCAGAGCAGAACGGGATGGCGGAGCGGATGAACCGCACGCTGGTGGAGATGACGCGCTGTATGCTCAAGGAAAGCGGCCTCGACAAGTCCTATTGGTGCGAGGCACTAATGACAGCGGCAGACATCAGAAACATTCTGCCGAATGCGTCGAACAAGAACTCAAGCCCACACGAAATGGTGTTCAAGAAGGTTCCGCGCATCGATCACATGCGCGTGTTTGGTGCGCAATGCTATGCGCATGTGGCGAAGGAGAAGAGAAAGAAGCTGGACGACCCAGGCGTGCGATGTTTCTTTCTCGGCTATGCGAAGGACCAAAAGGCGTATCGGCTTCTCAACGCGGACGATGGCTCAATCGTGATTTCAAGAAGCGTCACGTTCGCTGAGCATTCTGTCTCGAAAGCATCAAAAAGCAGAGACACGCGGGTGTTCGATGTCATTGAAGAAGAGGAAAGTGTGGAGGCGTCGTTACCCGATGATGAAGACATACCAGCGCCGGTGACCGAAGAAGAGCTGCGCACCCCCACCACTTCGAGCGCAGAACAGCTCTCATCACGGACCAAGTGTTCGACCAAGCGACACCATTCCTACGCGCGCATCCAGCACACCCGGAAGAAATGGAGAAGAAGAGTGGATGGTGCGACCGGTTCGAAAGAAGCGCGGCGTGGTTCGCTACGATCAAGAATTTCCAAGCCATCGTCGCGGTCACTTCAATTTGGACGACTACGAAGGTGACTTCGACTCTTTCTACTGTTTCTCGGCTGAAGAAGATGGGGAACAAGCGTCCAGCTATCAAGAAGTGATGAAGAGCGGCTACAAGGAGCAGTGGCTCCAGGCAATGAAGAGCGAGATGAAGTCGCTTGAAGAACACAGCACATGGAAGCTAGTAAAAATGCCACCGGGCAAGAAGGCCGTAGGCTGCAAGTGGGTCTTCAAGATTAAACGCGATCCAAGTGGCGAGATAATCAAGTTCAAGGCACGCTTGGTTGCGAAAGGGTTCACGCAGCGTCCTGGCATCGACTACAACGAGACCTTTGCACCAGTGGCGCGCAAGGAATCTATCAACACAGTGTTGGCGATCGCTGCAGCTGAAGACCTGGAAGCAGAGAACGTTGATGTCGACACAGCGTTTCTCAACGGCGAAGTGGAAGAGGAGATCTACATGGACCAACCTGACGGTTTTTGAAGATGAAGGAAGCCCGAATAAGAAGTGTTTGCTGCAGAAGGCGCTATACGGGACGAAGCAAGCGGCGCGGCAGTGGAACAACAAGTTGAGTCAGCACTTGGTTGATCAAGGATTCAAAGAGCAGTACAGCGGACCCGTGTGTGTTCGTTCGAGTGAAAAGAGAGGAGTACAGCATCATCGTGATCTACGTGGACGACTTGATGATTTTCTGCAAGACGAAGGAGCACATCGCAAGTATCAAGAACTCATTGATGGAAGATTTCAGCATTAAAGATCTTGGAGATCTCAAGTACTGCCTCGGGATCGAGATTCATCGCAAGCGCGAAGATGGAACGATCAAGATGAACCAGAAGGCGTACATCAAGCGACTTTCGGAGAAGTTCGGCGTTGAGAACTGCAAGGACATGCACACGCCGGCCGGACAGTAATTCGAAGCTGATCAAGATGGGTCAAGAGGAAGCGTTTGTACCAAAGTACCCATACCGTGAGCTGGTGGGCGCTTTAATGTACATCGCCACATGTACACGACCGGACATTGCGCATGCGGTTGGCGAAGTTGCGAAGTTTTGCGAGCGCTACGACAAGTCGCATTGGACAGCAGCAAAGCGGATTCTCAAGCATCTCAAGACGACTCAAGACTTAAGCATCGTGTTCAGCGGCATCAACAAGGGAGAGCTTATTGGATTTGCAGATGCAAACTGGGCTGGCGACCTCGACACGCGGCGTTCGACAACAGGATACGTTTTCTTCCTGAACGGAAGCGTGATATCGTGGAATTCGAAGCGTCAACCAACGGTCGCGACCTCAAGTACGGAAGCAGAGTACATGAGTCTGTACAGCGCGACGCAGGAAGCAATTTGGCTCCGAGGTCTGCTCAAGGACCTGAACTACTGTGCCAAGAACGCGACGACGATTTTTCAAGACAATCAAGGATGCATCGCGCTGGCCAAGAATCCTGTGTACCACTCGCGCACGAAGCACATCGACATCAAGTTTCACTTTTTGCGTGAAAAGGTTGCAAGTGCAGTGATCGCGCTAGAGTTCAAGCCGACAGAAGAAATGGTCGCGGATGGATTCACCAAAGCACTTCCAAGAGACAAGCACAGCAAGTTCATCACGGGTTTGTGCATGGCGGTGTAGGGTCACACGTCGCACGCACATCAAGGGAGAGTGTTAGCGAGTGATGATGCGGCGACTTGTGCAGGGTGTATATTGCATATTTGCATTAGTTGTATTGTTCTTTGGCAGGTTTATATTGTGGGATGTTAGGGAAACGACAAGTCATCGGATTGGCTCAGTCGTTTGGGAAGGGGGGATTCCACGCGGGTGGAGTGCGGGTTCGATCCCCGCCGTGTACAAGTTAATTGTGACTGACACTCACGACCTGGTGTTTGGGGTTCACCAGAACTGTGACCCGCCCGCAGTTACGTCCCCCACCCACGCAATCGTTTTCATTCAGCATATGACACAGCAGAGTTTTTACGAAAGGTATTTACGAGACGTAATTACCCAGTGATAGGTAAAACAGAAAGCGGTGGAGACAGGGCACGAAATAGATGGCTGAGAGTCACCGGCTACTACTAGCCATTCGTTTTCGAAGCTAGGAACAATTTGAATACAACTCACTTTTCGGTTTTCATCCCCGGCCGTAAGCCATCTTCTTCTCAGCATCAGCTCCACAACCTAGTTAATTCTAACATGATGCGCATATGGAACGGTAACTTGCTGCTCGATTCCTTGATCATCGTAAGATGCCTTGAGCGAATCTGCCGTAAATTCGCGTGCACCATCGTGGCGTGATGAACTTTAGACTTCTTGGTCCGAGTGCAAAACGCAAAGTGAATATATATTTATAATAGGTACTTAGTTCGCAACTTTGAATACTACCTCTAAGCCTATTATTCGCAGTGACGTCATCCAGTGACGTCACCCACTGACGTCATGCAATGACGTCATCCAGTGACGTCATTTCCTGACTTCGCCCTTACTGGTACATACCGGTACCCACCGGTATAGCGGAAGCTTGGTCTTCCACTTGCTTCAACACTTGACGCAGCTTGACGAGGTGTCTTCTTCACAGCCGCTGTCTTTTCAACACTCCCTCTCGACTCGTTAGCTGCGGCACCTTGGATCCCAAGTCGATCGCGAATGTTTTCAAATTGTACAGCGGCGATCGGCTTGGTCATCATGTCTGCCAGCATATCTTGAGTCGGGCAATACTCCAAAACGACTTCCACCTGATTCCACCTTCTCACGCACAAAATGGTAGCGTATGTCGATGTGTTTTGTTCTCTTATGGAACTCCGGGTTCTTGGCGAGAGCGATTGATCCTTGGTTGTCTTCCATACATCTTGATCGCTTCGTCGCTTGTCATCTCACCAAGCTCCCCCAAAAGCACTTTGAGCCATACTGCTTCTTTGGTTGCTTCGGAAAGCGCCATGTATTCTGCTTCTGTTGAAGATAGCGCGACCGTCCGTTGTTTCTGGCTTTTCCAGCTGATGCATCCTCCGCTCATCATGAACACATAGCCGCTTGTACTTCGTCTTGACTCAATGTCGCCGGCCCAGTCTGCGTCGGTGTACCCGCAGATACGGCTTCCTTCTTCACGTGTAAACTCAAGACCATGATTGGGCGTTGCTTTCGAGGTATCTCAGCACACGCTTCAAAGCTTGCCAGTGAGTCGGGCATGGGTCGGACGAGAACTGGGATAATGATCCCACTGCAGCAGCTAGATCCGGACGTGTGGCGACCATGAGATACATGATGCCTCCGACAGCACTTCGATATGGCACGTTGCACATGGTGTCTTCGTGCTTGCATTCTTGTTCACACATGTTCTTGGTTAGCTTCAGGCCGGGATCTTGAGGCGTCTTCACGGCCTGCTGTTATCCATTCCGAACTTAGTTAACACGGACTTGAAAAACTTGGTTTGTTGTACAGTCACCATTCCCGTCTTACGGTCGTTCTTGATCTCCATGCCGAGAAAGTAATCGGGGCTCCACCGAGATCCGTCATTTCGAAGCGTTTGCTCAGCGCCATCTTGGTTGACTTGAGGAGTTCGTTGTTGCTGCTGGCCAGGATGAGATCATCGACGTAGAGCACCACGAGAATCATGTCTTGGTCGTCTCGCTTGATGTAGATGCAGTGGTCCGATTCGCGCTTCTTGAATCCCATCTTGATCATGAACCCATCGATTGTTTGGTTCCACATGCGAGGCGATTGCTTCAAGCCGTAGAGTGATCTCTTTAGCTTGCACACTTAGTCCGGCTTGTTGCATCCAGGTATCCGTCCGGCTGGTCCATGTAGATGTCTTCGTTGAGGGAGCCGTTAAGAAACGCTGTCTTGACGTCCATCTGATGTAGCATTAGGCCGTACTTAGCGGCCATACTGGGCACCACACGAATCGATGTGAACTTGGCCACGGGTGCGAAAGTTTCTTCATAGTCAACTCCGAATTTCTGTGAGAATCCTTTGGCCCACAAGTCTTG